TCCTATAGTCCCTCTGGGAGGGTGATGGGCAGATAAGCAAACAAATAGAGTATGACATCAACTTCAGGTGATGTCATGAGGATTGTTGCTTAACAGTGATTAGTGAGGGGTTTCATATTATTTTTTAAAAAATATGGATGCAACTTGGCAATTGGGTAGCCTGTAAAAATCTGCTGTTTTTCTCTCACACCAACTTCAATACTCCCCTCCCCCAGTAAACGAACAAATAAATGAATAAAATCTCAAGCAAATTCAGTTTCAGCTCCTATCATATCAGTCTGATTTAACTTTACAGAAAACAATCTATTACGTGATGCTAGCTGCAGAGGCAGAGCAGGTAAAAATGAACTCTTTTCACTAATGTATATATGTGGGTTTTGTTGACCCATCCTATTATTATTTCCAAGCAGCAACATTTCCAGAAATATATATGTATTAAGAATTCAAATCAAATTTTAATATAGTTCCTTCCAGATCCCAGTTTTCAGATAAAATAGTTTCTTAGAAGAATTGTATGGATTATATGCAAAATAAATATTGTTTTTAAAAAATCTATTTAGAGCTAGACGATTGAATTTTTATTCCTGACAGATTTTTACAAATAGAGCAAAATAATTATTCTCAGCAGCTTCATTTGTAATCAGCCTGTTTAAGGATTGCTGCTAAAAATCTAAATTCACCATACTTTGTCTCAAATAAAAATATCAATATTTTGCTTAGAGAAGGCATATATAAATTATTCTGAAAACTGGGATATGAAGATGCTACAATGTAAGATTGATAATAGATCAATGTAGTTACCTTCCTTTTCAAAATGTGGCTTTATAGCCCAAGCATTTTGCCAGAACTACTGCAAAGTGCTTTAAAACAAATAATCAGAAAGCAGCTAAAGAGCGTTGCAACTGGATATGACTCCAGCCAGAAATAAAGCTCTCTCCATCATTATCAATCTCTGCAAAATCCAGTGTGAAGAAAGGTTAAAAGTTGGGGAAGCGTAGCTTGGAAAAAGATTAAGGGAAGACAGGACAGCTTTCTGGGTCTTGTAGTTCTTTCTTTAATAGCACTTTGATCTAAACTTCAAGAATGAGCTTAATTCCCCCCTTTGTCTTCTTTTGGCAGTATTGTCTCCAAAAATACAAAACCCACCAGAGAGACAAAGGTGAGTAACCAACCATGTTGTTTGTGTAGCAGTGGTGAAATCTAAAATTTGTTACTACCAGTTCTGCGGGCGTGGCTTGGGGGTGGTGGGTAATGTGACTGGGTGGGTGTGGCCATTTTTTTTTTTTACTTTTAAAACCATTTTTTCTACAACCTCTTTGGCGAAGAGGTTTTAAAAAATGCTTTCAAAAGCTCTGACGATCCCAGCTGAGTTGCCTGATCAGCAGAGGCTTTTTTTCTTTTAAAAGCCTCTTGACGATCAGGCAACTCAGCTTGGATCGTCAGAGGCATTTAAAAGAAAAAAAGCCTCTGCCGATCAGGCAACTCAACTTGGATTGCCAGAGGCTTTTAAAAGAAAAAAAGCCTCTGTCGATTAGGTAACTCAGCTGGGATCATCAGAGGCTTTTAAAAGCATTTGAAGATCCCAGCTGAGCCGCGTGATCATCAGAGGCTTTTTTTTAACTTTTAAAAGCATTTTTTCTACAACCTCTTTGGCGAAGAGGTTGTAAAAAAATGCTTTCAAAAGGTCTCTGATGATTCCAGCTGAGCCGTGTGATCATCAGAGGCTTTTTTTTTTTACTTTTAAAAGCATTTTTTCGGCCGAAGAGGTTGTAAAAAAAATGCTTTTAATTTTTTTTTAAAAAGCCTCTGATGATTGTGCGGCTCAGCTGGGCATGGGGGGGGCCAGGGATTTTTGCTACTGGTTCTCTGAACCACCCACTTCCATCGCTACCGGATTGGGTGATCCAGTCTGAACCGGGAGCATTTCACCCCTGTTGTTTCTCTGTATCACAGAGAAAAAAAACCCTTCCTTCAGAATTACTGTCTTTGGGAGAGGCTCTGAACTCCCTTTAAGATAATAATAATAATAATAATAATAATAATAATAATAATAATAATAATAATAATAATAATAATAATTTTATTTCTATACGCCCTTCTCCCGAAGGACTCAGGGCGGTGTACAGCCTATTTAAAAACACAAGACAAACATCAATTTAAAATTTAAAATTATTAAATAAATTTGGCTCCATTTAAAACCCCAGAAATTTAAAATACCCCAATTTAAAATTATTATGTCGATAGCCCGGCCTGACGAAACAACAGGGTCTTCAGTGCACAGCGAAATACCCGGAGGTCGGGGATCTTACGTATTTCCGGGGGCAGTTCATTCCACAGGGCTGGGGCTCCCACAGAGAAGGCCCTCCCCCTGGGTGTCGCCAGCCGACATAACTTGGCCGATGGCACCCTGAGGAGATCCTCTCTGTGGGAGCAAACTGGCCGGTGGGAGGCTATTGGTGGCAGAAGTCGGTCTCGAAGGTACCCGGGTCCTATGCCATGGAGCGCTTTAAAGGTGGTAACCAGCACCTTAATGGAAAACAGATGCAAAAAGATCTGTTCTTTAATTTCACAACATATAGCTTTAACCATAGTTTCAATTGGGAAAATGTGACAATCCTAGACCGGGCCATGTCCAAAAATGACAGGGAATTTCTAGAAGCCTGGCACTCTGACTAATCAGCCATCAACAGACACATAGACGTTAACAACATCTATAGACTATGCAAAAGAGGCAATCAACCAACCCAAAAGAGGAAAAATACTCCAGCACCTCTCCACCAGTAATCAGCACTCAAATCAGCATAGATTAACTTCAAGATTAACTTCAAGCCAAAAATCAAGCAATACCCCAATCAAGAAACTGCCAAAGAGCCATCGGTAAACAGTCCAACCAAAAAATCTCTAAGACCACCCAGCCACCCATCCAGACAGACAGGCAAGACTCTTGCCAGAATATAAACTGACAGCAAATAGCACTCCTTACTAGCACTGATGATGTTACCTAGTAAGGGTAATGAAATGTCTGCAACAAAACAAGCAAGCTCAAAACCACCAAGGACCCCTCAGATCTGTTTCATTGCATCCCAACATTGAATTTTAAATGGACTGTGCCATTTGTAATGACCAGACTTAAATTGCTGTGTTGCTGGTGGCTTAATATATATTGCCTTTCATGAATATTGTGTAATAACACAAGTGGTTTTTTTTTATTGAAAAAGTTTTCAAATACAAAATTTTTCCCCCACATTTTTCTCCCCCCCTCCTCCCTAACTACCCCCCCTCACCACCCATCCCCCATGACTTCCTCACAACAAAAACCTAATTCATAACAGATTATATAATATTTTACCATCCCCTTACTCCTCCTCTAAGTACTGACCCTTATTTACTAATAATATTATTAATATTATTACTTCCCCCTTTTACCATACATTTCAAAATATCATTTTACTATAGCATTGCGTAATAACTTCTAATTTAACATAATAATATTATTATAACTCCCGATTTAACAATAATCTGCCCTATTTCTCCTCCATACTTATATCTGTATTAATACAACATTTCATAACAACCTTCCATTTTAAAACTATGTAATTAATCCTGCTTTAACATTTAATCTTTTGTATATATTAATATAACATTTCAAAGCAGCCTTCCCATAAATCCTAATTTAGCATTTATTCAGCTCCATCCATTTGCTCCAGTCCCATAAGTATATCACTTAAGCATCCCTTTTCTTAAACTAAACAATCTGTAAACTAACCTATCTCCACCCACATTCCTACAAAGTTGCCATACACAACAGTTTTTAATATCTTTAATCTACTAATAATAATAATAATAATAATAATAATAATAATAATAATAATAATAATAATTTTATTTCTATACTGCTCTTCTCCCGAAGGACTCAGGGCGGTGTACAGCCTATTTAAAAACACAAGACAAACATCAATTTAAAATTTAAAATTATTAAATAAATTTGGCTCCATTTAAAACCCCAGAAATTTAAAATACCCCAATTTAAAATTATTATGTCGATAGCCCGGCCTGGCGGAACAACAGAGTCTTCAGTGCACAGCGAAATACCCGGAGGTCGGGGATCTTACGTATTTCCGGGGGCAGTTCATTCCACAGGGCTGGGGCTCCCACAGAGAAGGCCCTCCCCCTGGATGTCGCCAGCCAGCATAACTTGGCCGATGGCACCCTGAGGAGACCCTCTCTGTGGGAGCGAACTGGCCGGTGGGAGGCTATTGGTGGCAGAAGTCGGTCTCGAAGGTACCCAGGTCCTATGCCATGGAGCGCTTTAAAGGTGGTAACCAGCACCTTAATGGAAAACAGATGCAAAAAGATCTGTTCTTTAATTTCACAACATATAGCTTTAACCATAGTTTCAATTGGGAAAATGTGACAATCCTAGACCGGGCCATGTCCAAAAATGACAGGGAATTTCTAGAAGCCTGGCACTCTGACTAATCAGCCATCAACAGACACATAGACATTAACAACATCTATAGACTATGCAAAAGAGGCAATCAACCAACCCAAAAGAGGAAAAATACTCCAGCACCTCTCCACCAGTAATCAGCACTCAAATCAGCATAGATTAACTTCAAGCCAAAAATCAAGCAATATCCCAATCAAGAAACTGCCAAAGAACCATCGGTAAACAGTCCAACCAAAAAATCTCTTAAGACCCACCCACCCACCCACCCACCCAGACAGGCAAGACTCTTGCCAGAATATAAACTGACAGCAAATAGCACTCCTTACTAGCACTGATGATGTTACCTAGTAAGGGTAATGAAATGTCTGCAACAAAACAAGCAAGCTCAAAACCACCAAGGACCCCTCAGATCTGTTTCATTGCACATCCCAACATTGAATTTTAAATGGACTGTGCCATTTGTAATGACCAGACATAAATTGCTGTGTTGCTGGTGGCTTAATATATATTGCCTTTCATGAATATTGTGTAATAACACAAGTGTTTTTTTCATAAAAATACAGAAAACGAGGAGACTAAAGAAATGAGAAGCAAACATCAGAAGAAAATTGCTCAGAAAAATGCCACAATTAGAGATGTAGGTAATTCCCTTACAATGCTGTTTTAAGCTTCTCTTTTTGTTTGCTTATTTGTATTCTACGATTGATGAATATTTCTTGTAATTTCTGTATCTTAGCTAGAGGAAGAGAACCTATTTTTAGCAAATGAAATTGAAAGCCTTCTGGAGAAAAACAAATACTTGAAGGAGAAACTTCTCCAAAGTGAAGGAAGTGAGTATAACTTCAACTTAAAATTTTAATTATCTTCTTTTGAAAAATGAAAGTGATTTATTTGTTCTTTAAGTTTTATTTATTTCTTCTTAAGTTTAGCTTTACAAATACTTGTTATTTTGTTATTTTTTGCCAGGCCCTGTCTGGTAGGAAGAAGGCCATCAAAGTGAGATGGCTGGAAAAACACCAAGGAAAACACAGGTACTATATAAATAAGGACATGTGATTAAATTAGTAAATTAATTAGTGGATTAAATTAGCAGATCAAGGAAATGTTGTGGATCAGTGGTGGGTTCCTCCCGGTTCTGCCCGGTTCCGCTGAGCCGGTAGCGGTGACGATATGAGCGGTGACGAGATTTTGCAGTATCCTTCCCCTGCCATGCCTGCCAAGCCACTCCCACAGAACCAGTAGTAAAAAAAATTGAATTCCACCACTGGGTATAGGGTTTCCTGCCTGAGTAGGGGGTTGGACTAGAAGAATTCCAAGGTCCCTTCCAACTCTGTTATTCTATATTCTACATCCATGCAGTTTTTTTGGCAACATTTCTGGAATGGATTTGATATCCTTTTCAGAATGTTTTTCAACTTCCTAGTCCAAGGCTGAGAGGCAATGACTGGCCTAAAGTCACCCTGTTGCCATTTATGAGCAAGGGATGACTAGAACTCAAGTCTCTCTTCTCCTAGACCAGCACATTTAATCACTACACCAACTGACTCTCAGGATCTTAATAAGTGCCACCATATACAAGGAATGGCACTAAGAGCCCTGATGGGGCAGTGGTTAGGATGCAGTATTTCAGGCTAACTCTGCCGACTGCCAACAGTTTGATCATGACCAGCTCAAGCTTGACTTAGCCTTCCATCCTTCCATGGTCAGTAAAATGAGGAGCCAGATTACTGGGGGCAACATGCTGACTCTGTAAACTGCTTAGAGAGGGCTGTAAACCACTATGAAGCAGTATATAAGTCTAAGGGCTATTGCTATTGCTAATAAAGCCTTGGAAGGGGACTATGTGGGTGAAGGTGCTAGAAAGGGTGGGGTTCAATTTATGTTCTCTGGACACGGTGATCCCAATGCAGATCAGAGTACCTGGGCAAACTTTTAAATACAAAACAGAGGGGAAATGACTTGCTGCATAATTAACACAGCTTGGAATTGGGAACCACAATCAATAGCCCCAAAATTAAAACATTGTTTCTCAGTCATATTAGCCCCAGTGAGCTCTTATCATATTTTGTCTGCATTCCAAAGGCCCTGCCTTGTTTTAAACAGCAGAAGTTCAAAAGTATTTTAATCCACGTGCATTCACAGCACATTGCAAAATGTTTTTCAATGCCAATTGCTTGTTATATAGTTATATAGAATTTTAGGATTTCCTGCCAATCTGCAATTTCTTCACCCCCCAAGCAGGTTTTCAGCATAATCTATTCGATTTCTCAAGTTTTGAATGCTCTCCTGGAATGCTGGGTCGGAGAAGATTAGTGCTATCTTCCACTATCAGCTAGATTTCTCTCAGCTTTGTTTAAAACCTGTATGAAAGCTTGAAAAAGTTCTTGGAATAAAGTTACTTTTCCAATCAGGCAGTGCTAATAATGTTTTTTAATCTTAATTTGCGTTTGGAGAGACTAATACGAAGCAACACTTGGAGCCTTATAGATGCATTTAGTATCACTGTAGTACAGGTAGTCCTTGATTTACAACCATTTGTTTAGTGACCACTTGAAGTTACAACGGCACTGAAAATAGTGACTTACAACTGGTCCTCACATTTACAACTGTTGTAGCATTCCCATCATCACGTGATCAAAGTTGGGCACTTGGCAACTGGCATATATTTATGCAGCATCCTGGGATCACGTGATTGCCATTTGTCACCTTCTCAGATGTCTTCTGGCAAGCAAAGTTAATGGGGAAAACCTGATTTCATTTAACAACTGCAGTGCTGTGCTTAACAACTCTGACAGGTCATAAAATTGAGTGTGACTCACTTAACAACCATCTTGCTTAACAACAGAAATTCTGATCCCAATTGTGGTCCCAAGTCAAGGACTATCTATAATACATATCCACAATTCCTCCTTGCCAGAGATTTAAAAGACCATCAACACTGCCAAAAAACACTGATTAGATTTAGATATGGTTGAACATCTCAAAAAGGAATTTCCAGCAATACCCTGGTAAAAGCAGTATATAATCTACATAGAGATGATTTGCCCTGTCTGCATACATGTCTTTTCTTTCCTCTTCATCTGATCCCCAAAACTTCTTATAATTAACTCCTCTTTGTTTCAAGTTGTATTTAAGCCACCTAAATTCATTACTATCCCCTATAGAGAATTTTTGGCAAGACTTGGGAAAGGAAAAAAAATGCCTAAAGCATTTTCTGGCATTGACTAACAACTAATCTGTGGTTCTGTATGAAGTCACAGGTATTCTCACATGTGAGAAAATTTATGTGGTGCTTGAGCTTTATTGTGTGTATTATCTGCATTGCCTTCTTGAAAATTACTTTGCTCCAATCCCAACGTTGGCTCCTTAAAAATCAAATAAAAATTAGTCTTTCATAGAATAGTTGGACTGAAAGGAAATAAAGGCCTAGGACTTGTGCAATAATTGTAATGCAATTATTAATAGGAGCAAAGCAAGAAATGTATCCAAAAGGAAGTAAAAACGGAAAAATCGTGTCTGAATGTAAGGCATGTTCAATTGTAAAAAGAAAAGGGTTATATAATTTGCAGTAGACAAAGTTAAATATAGAAGCTCTGGACACCAAATGCAATGATGGCAACCACTTTAGACTGTTTTTAAAATTTAGGAAAAATCCAAAATTTTCAGAGGTTTCTTGGTGGGCATGAGAGTTATATGCTATCTAGTTGTTAAGGCACAGGGTAGAAAGCAGGAGACTGTGAATTCTAGTCCCTCCTTACCCATGAAAGTTGGCTGGGTGACCTTCAGCCAATCTCTCTCAGCCCAACCCACCTCACAGGATTGTTGTTGTGGGGAAAATAGGAGGAGGAAAGCATGCTGGATATGTTTGCCACTTTATATTATTTGTAACAATGATTAAGGCAGGATATAAATGAAATAAATAAAATATTCACAATACAACGTAGCATATGCTAAATACTGTTTGCTAGGTAACAACTGCTGAAAAGTGCAGTTGCACTGGGAGCACCTCAAGGGGGCTGAGCAGCTCCAAGACACTCTATTGCAGGGGTCCCCCAGGCCACAGACTGGTACCAGTCCACAGCCCATTAGGAACCAGTCTGTGTGCAAGTGAGCAAAGCGTCATCTGCGCATGCGCGGGATCTAGGTAGCGTGCAAAACCACACCCCCACGGTCCGTGGAAAAATTGTTTCAATCACTGAAAAGTGCAATTGGACCGAGCGCACCCTTCCCACAATCACGATCGTATTCTGGGTGCTTGGCAACATGTGCACACGTACAACCAGTTGATAAAATGCCTCACAATCAAGTGATCAGCATTTACAATATTCTCTGCCATCTCCCCAGTCAATGAGAAAGCTGCCAGGGAAGTTTGCAACCTGCTGCCAACTGCCAAAGGATTTCCCCTCCCCTCCATATATGGGGAGGGGGGCTTGCAGGAAGAAGTCCTTATCAGGCTGCAGAAAGGAAGCTCTGATCTTCAGGATTCCAGCTATGTCTCTCTAGCCCAGCTCAGGAGTTTCCTTACACACACAGAGGGGAGAAGAATTCCTTCACAAGGCTGGAGAGATGAAGCGGTGATCCTGAAGATCATCTCTCCAGTCCATTAATGAGTTCCCTTCCTCACACAGTGGGAAACGCCTACACTGAGCTGGAAAAACAAAATGGGGATCTTTTGCAAGTTTTTTGCCTCTCTTTTCTGAGAGCAATCCCCTGATTTCCAATAATAATTGAAATGCTGGTGCTGACTCAGAACAAAGCTTCTTTTGAGTTCAGTCAGACTTAACGCCAATATAAATAAGTATAAGATTACAGGCCATATTATTTCTATTTCACAAATCTTTTTAATTGCTTCCAATCCCACAGTGCCAGCAAAGCTGGAAGCTATGCCCATCATTAGGATTATCATCTGCTTTTGCATTTTGACAAATATATCCAGCATATCAAACCAAGGAACAATTATGTAGGAGCCATAACAGGGCAGATAAAATATACTTTTCTCAGGCTGTACAATACCATCTAACTCAAGGAATTTGCACTTTAAACTCACACTTTATACAGTGGAGTGACCACAGGGAAGGCTTAAGCCTGATTTGGACTTCTGTGCCACTGCACCAGTGGTGGGTTGCTCCCGGTTCAGTCCGATTCTTGTGAACTGGTAGGCTCCGCCCACCCACCCGGATGTCATCATGAATGATCTGCGCATGCACAGAAGCTTCTGCACGCGTGCGTGCTCCCATTGCAAACCAGTAGCATTGGTAAGTAGAACCCACCCCTGCACTGCATGTATGCATCTGTCCTTTGGAGATGGCTGCATAGCTGTTACATTTATACTTTTGCAAATGTTAATGTTCTGTGCTAGGGGAAACAGAAAAACTACTCTCGCAGTTGCTTCCACTTTCCTTTCCATCTGGATCGTCCTCCGAACGTCTTCCAATTTCCCTCCATGAATGGGATGTTACCTCCTGGCTTTTCTAGTTTTTATCCATTATATCATACAAGTGTTTATATCTCCTCTAGCTGCTCCATTTTTTTCATTTGAATATGCCTTGCCTTCAGCCCCCCTCCCAACAGGAAGTCGAATCAACCAATCAGCAAGCAAGATGCTCGTCTCCACATAATGCATAGTTGAGAATGGGAGATGTGTGTGTTGATCCATCTGTAACCATCTGCAAATATCCTTACCCATCAACCCCTTCACAGCATAGGTATGATCAATGCCTGTGCGCAGTTAAGGATAAGTCTAAATCAAGTTTTAGTATCCAAGCATATGCAGGCCTTTCTACTAATTTTAGTAGAAACATCAGATTATCAGTACCAGAAACTGCCCTATAATCAGTAGAACAATAAGTACTTCAAGTACTTAAAGTGGAGCTCAGGGCCACAGTTCAGCGTCCCTCAGCTAAAGGATCCTATAAAATAATATCCTAGAAAATGACAAATAATAGCAGAAAAGTTTGACAGCAACATGATGCAGGGGTGAAATCCAGCAGGTTCTGACAGGTTCTGGAGAACTAGTAGTGGAAATTTTGAGCAGTTTGGAGAACCGCCAAATACCACCTCTGGCTGGCCCCAGAGTGGGGTGGGAATGGAGATTTTGCAATATCCTTCCCCTGCCACGCCCACCAAGCCACGGCACACCCACCAAGCTACGCCCACAGAGCCAGTAGTAAAAAAAATTGGATTTCATCACTGACATGATGGTAACATGGCTGCTAAAGATCCAATAGTCTATGCCTGACATAATCCTTTTTATCCTTCCTGACATAGACTTTCAAAAGGAGATCCAAGATCAGATCTCTTTCTGGGTTCATTCTTGTGTCCCTTGACCACAACACAAACCTATTCCTAAACCTCTTTTTGTAGTCTTTATGATATTGCTTTCCTTTCATCCTCAACCCACTTTTGAGGCATTGTGACCTTGTCTTTAGCTAGCCCACATTTAGTGTAGTGTTTTCCCCCTTCTTCCAACAAAATTTGGGCTGTGGATACAATTCAGTGTTTCTCATCAGCAATATGGTTCCTGGCAAAGTCGGGTAGGATCTGCCCAGCTCCAACTAGTCACTAGTCACTCTGGATAGCTAAAGGCATAGCCTCTTCCCCCTAGTTATTGGGAACTGCCTTTTGTGGTAATCTCTCCTTAGGCTGCAGGACTCAATGGACCTCTGGGTTCCCCAAAGCCATCCATGAAATGTGTTCAGCATTTTCCAAAGTGTTATGAGGCCTAATACACATCTCCAAAATTTAGTGCTTTTTTTGACAGAATGCCAGACATTTCCTAAACATGGGATTAGGGCTCTTTTGAATGAACAGGACTAGCACTCTCTTTTGAGAGTGTTAACCTCCACTACACCAAAGTCAATTTAAATTGGGGAAAAACGGGGGTTTGTCACCTGCTGATTATTAGAATAGCTGATTCTGCCATTTCTGCCATTTCATGTTGTTGCTTCTGGCTCCATACCTGACTGTATGTTACATCCAGCTACAACAAGAAAGTTGAACTTATTTGTAACTCTGTCATTTCTTTGTAGCCAGGAAAGAACTTACTTAGTACAATATTATTGATCAGGCCCATTCACTGCTTCCTATGCCTGTTCCACATCTGAAACTTTTGAGCTGGCCTATTTTTGAATACATGTTTACATTTCATTCATAAGAACGCTAAACCCATGTTGAGAAATAGCCCAATGGACCAGTTTTATTCAGGTACATATACTATCTATTAATTGGGCAACCTACTGATTGATAAACACATCTACCCAGTTATCCATTCCCAGACCACTACACATTATGGAAAGTTATTATCGTCCCCTGTCCCCCGTCAGTAAGCAACACTTGTTAAAAGAAGCAAAACCAGGAGAATAAATTCGTTGCTTTGAATAATGTGTCTTGCAGGAAAATAATAAGCACACC